AGAACTCAGGATACACTTAGAGATTTTATTACCGGGAATAGTTACTTTATTCTTTTTACCTCAATCAATCAAGGCATGGAAATAAGTGATAGTCACTTTCATTTATATTTTAACAAATAAAGTTACCCTAAGGAAAATAAAAAGACATTGAAAACCCATTAAAGTCAGCCCTTAAAGATATTTGGACATGCAGACATGATAACTAACATTTGCATTCATGAGACTTACCCAAAACCTATATGTGAAGTCCATTTTTTTATAATATGCGAAATAAAGATCTCAGTGAGTGCATAAAATTGCACACTAGAGTCATATCCATATAGACCATAACACATCTACTAGAAAAATAATAAACCCAAACACCAATGTGACTCTATTTTCTTCTGTTTTAAAATATGTTATCTTTGTATGCATGTTTGCGTCTTCCTTTTTTTAAAAAAAAATCACAGATAAATTCAAGTCTCACCTCAGATTTTATTCAGAGAACTATCAGTGTGACTTGGCCCATCTCTTTCTAGTCCCAGAAAGAATTGCACTGAAATGCTGAGTTCCTATAATAAAAAAGAGCATTTGCTGAGAATAATTAACATACTCAAAGAGATTTTCTTAGAGTACACAATGGTGATATTATATGTCTCTTTATAAATTACTTTCTATCTATTTCTGTGGATTATTTCTACTAACTACTTTTCAAATGTCCAATTTCTTTTCTTCCCCTACGACTACTGTCTGAATACTGGCTCTGCTGTTCACTGATACGACTCTCGGCAAGTTGCCTGCACTTTTTAAACTTTATTTCCTCATTCAGAACATGGGACCATACATAATTCAACTCACTTCAGTATTATTGGGAAATTAAACAAAAAATGCATGGGAAACATTTAACACAGTGCCTGAGACAATAACAAGCACTCAGTAGATATTAGCTTTTGTTAATGTTGTTGTTGTTATGTCCAGAAGCACTGTACCTCCAGAAAATCATGGGTACCTGCTGGGGATGTTGGGAATATGCCTGATTTCAAAAGAAATGACTGCTTTTTTCTGCTTAGATGAGAAATTTTTCTAAACTAGACACCTTCAAACATGTAAGATTCTGTTGTGGATTCTAGGACTGAAAGAATTCTCGGTGTGGTGTCTTATCCCTGTAATACCAGCATTTTGGGAGGACAAGGCAGGAAGATTGCTGGAGTCCAGGAGTTTGAAACCAACCTGGGCAACATGGCAAAACCCTGTCTCTACAAAAAATACAAACATTAGCTGCTCATGGTACTGAGTGCCTGTACTCGCAGCTACTCAGGAGGCTGACATGGGAGGATCGACTGACCCTGGGGAGGCTGAGGCTTCAGTGAGCCGTGAAGACACCATATTATACTCCGCTTCAGCCTGGGTGAGAGTGAGACCATGCCTCAAAAAAAAAAAAAAAATCCAAAATTATTCTTTTTGCTGATTTCCTGTCAGTAGTGTGTGCTGAAGGCTGTAAAGTAGCCACTTGTTCTCTTTATTTTCCATTGAACAAGTATTTATCAGAAACGTACTTTGTGGCAGGCACTGTGCTAGGAGCTATGCATACAGAAGGAAAACCAAATGTTCTTGGATACTACACTCCAGTTGTGATAAAAAAGGAAAAAGTATTCTTCACGAACTTCAACATCTTGATGTGCAGAAGCATAATATATGAATAAGATCTACCTAATTACATAGAATCAGACCAATTATTTCTGGGATTGTGGGCTCATATTTTTAGTAACTGTCCTCCTGCCTCTCTGTAACAGGTTTTATAAATATTCACTTAATTACACACACACACACACACACACACACACATATACACAGCTTGACAAATAATGGGCATGAAAAATTGACTAGTACTTGCTTTCATTCTTCTAGATGTCACCACAGTGGATCCCAAAGACAGTTTTTCAAAAGACGCAAACGGTAAGTTTTTGTGCTTTTTTATTTCCTCCTGATCATTTTAACTTTTGAACTTCTCTAGTTTGAAAAATCAGGGAATAGATTTTGCTAGGTTGGATGCTGCAGAATGAACCTAGTGATACTTTAAATTAGTCCCTCGTTTTCCAGGAGTTGTATTAACAAACCTAACTACTGCTTTGAGTTTGAGATGACTGTAAATTGAAGGGTATAGTGTTTTGCTTTCAATTATTTCAACAAACAGACTTTATTCATCCGTGTGCCTTTTTTTTTTTTTTTTTTTGGAGAGGAAGTCTCGCTCTTTTGCCCAGGCAAGAGTGCAGTGGCCGTGGAATCTCCAAACTCACCACACAACCTCCCGATTTCCCTAGTTACCATTCTCCAGGCCCTCAGTTTCTCAAGTAGGCTGGGGACTACAGGCACACCGCCACCATGTCTGGTGCGCAGTTCTTTGGTTTTTAGTTAGACCACTGTTCTCCACTAAGTTGGGCACAGCGGTAAGAATCTAGACACTCTGTCATGCCACGGGCAAGTCGTATCGGAGACCGCGAGGGCCTGAGCCTCGGCCGATCCCGCGTAGGTTGAGGTGAGGTATCGATGGGTGTGGTGAAAATTTCAAC